CAGCACGCAGGAACTCAACACTTGCCCGCGGGTCCTTAAAAAGTGCTGAAAATGGGTTACTGAAATGTCCCAGCAGACGGGTATCTGCGACTTTTGTCACTGTTATTGTATTTGTAAATGTTTCCTGCCTGTATCACCACAATTCAGGAGGTTGGCTTCTTCAGTCCAGCATGTTTGGGCCAACTCAGCTTCAGAACAACACAACATCCCAGCAGAAAGATGAAGATACTCCATTTTTTTAAAAAATAAAGCCACCTCCCTACTCCCGAATCAAACATACATTTTCGTGCAGTGGCAAAGAGCCTGATCTAACAACGAATCGACAATTTGTGTGTCTGGCAGCAGGAGGAAGAGTACAAATCCATCACTTTACCACACTGTAAAAGTCAAAAGAAAAGTAAACGACAAGAGAAACTTCCTCAGCATGCTGGGATATTTTATATTATAATATTACCTTTTTGAAAGATAACTAGAATGTCAACCTTCAAGTAAATATAACACAGACATACTGGTTTGGTGTACACATTTTAATATCACGATTGTCAAATACACATACACCTAAATGAGTTTAAGCAAAAATTATAAAATTTCTAAAACTACTGCACGAAAAAATGTGTAAAAACAACCAAAAATTCAAAATAAGAAGACTAAGACTGTTCTTCCATTTGATTAAGTTTGAAGATTAGGTAATTTTAAAAAATACCACAGAAATACCACGATGAATTTCAGAGACGAGTTGCATTAAAAATAGCAATAAGTCCATGTAGGGTTTCAATAACATAAATTATTCAGATAATTCTCCCAGCTCAATCTCAGGCTTAAGATAATGTAAGTACAATGTATGTTCAAATAATAAAGGGTGGTGGACATTTCAGACTTTGTAGAGCTTCACACACAACCTGAAGAAATTGTGACCCTTGCCGTCAGTCTACGTGCAACAGACTCTTACGTCCATGCATCAAAAAAATAGAGCAAATCTTGAAAAAAATTAAAATCACAGCTTGGACAGTTCCCTACCAACTTGTCCAATTCCCTACCAACTTGTCCAATTCCCTACCAACTTGTCCAATTCCCTACCAACTTGTCCAATTCCCTACCAATTTGTTCAATTCCCTACCAACTTGTCCAATTCCCTACCAACAACTTGTCCAATTCCCTACCAACTTGTCCAAGAGTCCACTCCCGACATGCTGGTAGCCCACATTGCTAAACCGGTCAAAGATTTCACATTGCGTAACATGAACTGAACATGGCAGGTTCTTTTTTTTTTTTCACCCTCTCCGTACGCCCTGGGGTCATTTTGTACCCCCGGAGTTCTATTCTTCACATTTTAGAATATACTTCTAGTGCGAAGATCTCTTTGAAACTTTCAGTATTTCTCAAAAAATCATTTTGACAGATAACTATGCAAAGCATATGGATCGAATTAACGAGTAAATTTCCTCTTTGGAAATAAGTGGTGGCACAGAGTTCCCCACGTCTTGTGGATGCGATAGTAAAACACGATGTACGGATAGAGTTAATAACACCCTTATATCTCAGAACTATCTCCTGTAAACGCCATTATCTCCAATAACTGCTATAGAAGTACACATGCTGACTGGGAAAGCGCCCAGTTTCTTAAAAGTAAAAAATAGGTCTAGTAGTAAATCTTTTCTCAGTGTAAAGTGTGCATGCTAGTAAAAGTAAACTCATGCATGTAAAATTCCAAATGCACTCATATGACACATATTGACATTTATACTGATTTGAACATCACATAAATCTATATATTGCACGATTAAAAAAACTATGGAATATTGCACATATATATATATATAAATATTGAGATTCGTTGATTGTACAATAAGAAATGACAAGCCCTCATTATATCTTTTTTTTACACCTTAGTACATACGTTTGGTCCACTTTAAACAGAAGTAAAGCATGCTTTCTATTCAAATGTGAGAGAAATATAATAATAAACAGACTAGCTTAATAGTACACGGGTTAAAAATTTCATTTGCAAAGTCAGAGTACAATACAAATTTGGTCTCACTACAAATACGATACAGTCTATCGTAGCTTATATACATTACCCCAAAACAAAGTCTGGGAAACCCTCAAGACCTGTGCCTGGTGGTTCCCATAAATTTCCTCTCATCTCAAAAGGGAGACAAAATGTGAGAAATGAGGGGACGCAGAACAAGAGTTCTTGCCTGTCACATCAAGATCAGCTCCAAGTCTGAAAATAAACTGCCACGCACAACTGAAGTGTGCCGCGAAACAGACGAGCAGCTAGGTCGGAGGTGGTGATCACATAGGTCCGACTGTGTAAAAAAAAATGGCGCTGAGCAGGCGAAAACAGCTCAGTTCTCGGTACCCCCTTTTGTTTTATCTCCACGGCGTCGTGGAACACTCCGATAGCAGGGCGGGCCTGTCCGCACCACTAGAAGAAGTGCTGCACTCACGCACGTCTTGTTGGGTCCTCACAACTCCTCACGTCTAGTCGTGTCAGTGAAATCACCGATAGGAAATATAAAGAGGAGGGCACAACTTTTTTCACAGCGCACGTCAGTTGTGCGTGGCAGTATATTTTCAGCCTCAGTCGGCAATGGCATCTACAGAGTGAACATTTATTGGGGTTTTTTGAGAAAAGTGAAACTTGAGATGAAATTAGACGTACAGAAGAAATTTAAGACCTAGATCAGTGATCGCTGAACAAAACGGCACAACACAAGCCAAGCGGTGTCTGTAGGCACAAGCTTTTTTTTTTTGGCTTTGAGATCTACAACACAGTGCCTTTGAGAAAGTTGCATTCCCTCCCTCCCCCCCCCCCCCCTATGGCAACCAGTAACATATCATACATGTCGTTTTGTACATTCATACACCACACAAATCAATAAAGCTGTCTTTAGTTCTTCATATTCTAATGTTTCAAATTGAAGAAGTCTCCGAGACAAAATCACTATTGACTGCACTCACACACAGGGAATGAGAAACATGTACATATAAATTAAATATAAGAAACATGTACATGTAAATTAAATATAAGAAACATGTACATGTAAATTAAATATAAGAAACATGTACATGTAAATTAAATATAAGAAACATGTAGGGCCTACATATAAATTAAATATCTATTCTGAAAATAAATGTCACTAAAAAAAAAACAACAATGGTCCCAGGAAAAATGAACATCAAATTCAAATGGGAAAAAAATATCACAAAAGGAACGGTGGAACATCATAAATAATAAAATGTACACCAAATAAAACAAGGAATGTATAACTTTCCCATGTTTTGATTAATGTTTAAATGTAGAGACTAGGTAAGTACAGAGTGCTTGAGCTGGATCCTTGGCCACAGCCCCGCGGTGCAAACTACCGATGGATGCCACAGACAGCAATAGCATAGGCTACAACATTCTGCTCACAGACGCCAGCGTCGTTACGAAATTCAAAAGTGTTTTGCTGCACGGAATGGTTGAGGGGTTTTTTTTCATCAAGAGATGGGTGACAGAATTATGCTTTGATGTTAAAGTCTTTTATGATCTAAAAAACTTCTGGAAATGTCACACATGACCTTGAAACCATGCACAAGTGCCCACAAAAGAATGCTATTTGGCTTAAACAAGTCATTTATTGATCCAGACGGAAAAAATTGAACTTCAGAGAGATCAAGAACTAGGCTTCTTACTGTGATCCTGAACGGCTAGACCCTCTCCATCACCCCAGAAAAATGTTTAACTTCTGATGAAAACTTTTTGCCTAGTGGCAGATACAACATGACGCCAAAAAGAAGAGGTGATGGACAAATGTGTGATCAGATTTACGTAACATGAAAGACAGAATTCAAATTGAAATCCTGAGTCTAATAATAACAGCCCTACGGAATCGATGCAAGACCTTTCCCTCTACAAACCAAATGCATGCCTCAGCAAATGGTGATGTAAACACAATACAGTGGAGTCCCCTTTAACTGAACTCTGTGGGACTGCTGGATTTTCTCTGGTATAGCCAAGTTTTCAGTTTAGAGAGATTGCTCAAGTATATATGGCTCTTTTCGTCTATGCAGACGGTCAACTTAGCTTAAGATGGTCTCAAGGTTGTCTTCATGCAGCTTCTTTCATGGCTAATTCCTCCTATGTTTGAAGCGCAGATTCTGTCGCAAAGCTTGCATGTCAGTGACGTAGAAGAACACAAAATCGGGGATTTGATTTTCTTTCTGTTTCCCCCTGTTTTCGAATTCACCTTGTTCAGTTAAAGCGGACTCCACAACAGTCAACCCGAGACAGCTCAAGAGTTCATGACCTGTAGGCTCAGGGAGGCAAAGTTCCAAGAGTTTTTAAAGGACCTCATCTCCTGACAGCAACAAACTCGAGAAAAGGGAGTGAAAAAAACAGTCATAAAAGCTATTATTACTCTTACGACAACTGCATCACTGCCCAAACCTGGCAGTTCTTCGACGCAGGCTCCTATACACACCTACAGACTTACAAAGCCTGCTCTACTCTGGCGTTGACCAGATGACAAGGACATGTGGTTACTTGAGGGAGGCATTGCGCTGCCAAGAGCGAAATGCTCGCAGCTAAAGGGATTTGAAAACAACAACAACAACAACATGACAACTGCAACTGTTCTTTACTGCACTTCTAACAATGTAATCAATGTCGGCCTTAAAAAAATGCTAGTTGTTTTTGCATCACATGACCTCAAGAAGATGTAGAATGTCAGTACATATGTAGGTATTATTAAATGGTCAAGCAAAAACTCAAAATTGTAAGACAAATTAACATGTGAAAAGTTGTAACTGAAACTAAAAACAAAACATAATTTATGATTCTTCATTTTAAGCAGGGCTGCCAATTTTGACCAACTTTATGGAGTTCCTTCAAGGTTTCCACGGTCTGCAATGGTTTCATAACACGTAACTTTTCCTCTAGTCTATGAAGTACAGTCGGAGTACACAGACTTGCTGAGTACCCCATATCCCAATAATATCTTCTTTGATTCCCGTCAAAGCACCTCCATCAGATTTGCAATCAGAATTGCATAAAATCCTTCTTTTTTTTTTTTCATGAATCCCGTTTCTGTCTTGTCCTGTATGACTTGTCCTAAATGACGTGAAACTCGACATTTTTGTTACCATTTGCTCGCCCCGTTTTCGCGACTTATCGTAAATGATGTAAAAGTATACGTTTTTATTTCCGTTTATTTGTGCACAATTGCAATACTCATTTGTGAGACAGCGTGGTGGAATCAGGCTCTCGTCAAAATAATCAAAGTGAAGAAACTTCCATTTTTCCTCAGGTTTGTGGATTTTTATCAATTTTGTTGTTTTTTGGCCAAACACCTTTGTGCCCATTAAACAATTTAATTTTGTTTGGATTTTCCTGAAAAACGTTGATTAAAGGCACAAAATATTTAAATTTTCAGTTACCACGGACTCTTAAGCTAAGGAAATAACTAATCTTTGGCGGTAATTTTCTCACTAATTTTACCTCTGAAAACAGGTGACCCACACCTCCTTCATTCGCAAATATCTCGACTTGTATTCAAGATAAAGGAATACTTTGCTCTTCCAAAATAAGACAAGAGAACAAGCTTTAAGATGATACCAATATCTCTTCATGCCCAAAAATTGACGAGAGCTTGATTCCACCACACTGCCTCACATTTATTTGCCATAGTCGATTAATTACTTCATTTTAATCTGCTGGGGTCCGTTTTTTCCCCAACGAGGATTTTGAGAAAAACTTTTGTTTTGTCATAGAGGGGATGGCAGATCCAAGTACATAATAAACAGTGCATTTTAAAACAATTTAATTAATGTCACAATCACTGCTCGTTAACCAGAACACAGACATACATAACAGTCACTGAAACACAAAACCTGTATCAGGTTTCAATGGCAAAAGAGTCTATCTAATCAGATGAGTTTGTCTGCTGCACAGAAAAATAACATACATCAATCACAGCATATATCTCATAGTCTATTCTGTAACCAAACATATCATGGTAAAAATTCTCTTGAAAAGTTCTAAACCCAACTTACGAATATCAAATATACCAGACATCCGACTCCGCTCGCTCGCTCGGAGAACACAGTGGTATCACGACAACAAGACCCACATGACGGTCCCCGTCAGGACGGCGATATGGGCGGTGGCGGTGAGTCGTGTGCCGGTGTTGTAGCGACACTTGAGAGGGACGTCGTTCAGCTTGGGACACTTGCCCTGGTCTCTTAGCGTGCTCTCCGAGGTGTCCTTGTGCGCGCACGTCCCGTTGATGATTCTGTAGGCCCCGCTGTTCACCACGCTGAAAGCACACACACACAGACAAATAGCCGTCACTTCACACACTGACTGACACACAGCCGTCACTTCACACACACACAGACAAACAGCCGTCACCTCACACACGGACTGACACACAGCCGTCACTTCACACACACACAGGCAAACAGCCGTCACTTCACACACTGACTGACACACAGCCATCACTTCACACAGACACAGACAAACAGCCATCACTTTACACACTGACTGACACACAGGAAAGTATATTATAAGACACTGTACACTGTACCTCATTTGTAGTGAAACTAAATTTTAGTTTTAGTAGAGGTTTTACGGCACTCGCAACTGCATAACGACATATGAACGCCAGAAGATTAGAGGTGTTACAAGAGAGTAACAAACATAAAAAAAGAAGAAGGGGAGATAAGGACGATAGATGTTTCATAGGAAAGAAGAAGCAAACCACACCAGAGCACCCGCCAACCCCCCATGCACTGTAGACTGTTCCTCATTTGTAGTGAATGGTTTATTTATTGTCATTCTTCTCTGAGACAGAAAACATGGCTCCGCTCACTGACAAATTTGTGTGTATTCTGATTTCACAAATGAAATTTTCAACCCCCTGTAACATTAAACTGGTTTACTTATTGTTATTTTTCTCTCAGACAGGAAACATGGCCAACCCCACTGACACTAGGGCTGGATCCTGCTCGTCAAATTTGAGAGTGGCGATTCGCGATTCAGTCGGCTTCAATGAATCGCGAGTACGCGAGTGCTTGTGGAGCTGTGGCGGAACACTGAAACGGAACAGTGTCCTATCAACGCCTCTTGGCGAGCGCGAGTCCCACACTTGTTGTTCCGCCATCCTCTCCGCCCCACACCCTTTGTTGCGCTGCTCTATCAATTGACCTCAATTAGTGACCCCCATAAATTCCCCCCCCCCCCCCCAACCCCACCATTCGCTAAAACAATGGCTCCATAAAATTCCTTCTGTCTATTGGTTGGACCCCGTTCATTTTGTTTTAATAGGGGGGTTGGACTATACCATCTTTTGTAAAATAAGGGGAGCCATACTAAGTGTTCCGTTCCGTTCTTGCGCTCGTGACTCGACTCAGCCGTAGGTTAAACAAGCCACAAGGTGGTGACAGCGACAGGGGAGTGAATCGGGAATCGTTTGGCGATACTGTTCCGCATTCCGCTGAAGTGAATCGTGAATCGCGTTCCGCAGGAAAGAGTGGCGATTCAGTTCCGTTCTCGCGCCCGTGACCCAGCCCTAACTGACGCTACAAAGAGAAGCTGAAGGGGGCCGACAGAAGAGCTGAGAAGGACAGCCCAGTATATGATAGATACCGGACTTCAAGTGCGATGCGATAGAGAAGAAGTAGTAGAAGACTTCAGACATGGGCATGGTTTCAAATCCATCACTAAGCTGGTGCTATCTACTTTACGGGCAGACAAGTAACACGTCCCAAACTTTGAGGGCTGAAAGTTAATGGTCTTACTCTGACAACACAAAGAGCATATTTTTAAAAATTACACTTCACACATTCAAAACCAGGGAAAAAATCATTTAAAAGTTATATTTCTTTCAGAGTAACTTAATTTCTCTTTTCATTTGCTTTACATTGGACTTCACAACTTCTATAAAATTCCCCAAACTTTAGCCTTTCTAAACAAGGAAGAAACATGGACTTTTACAATGTAAATTGTGGAACAGTGTTTTATAAACAAGAGAAGAAATATATACCTGCGAGTAATTCTACAATGGAAATTGTAAAATGACTACAAAATATGAAGAAATATGTACCTGCCCATAATTTTACAGTAGAAATTGTAGGACAACTCTTTATAAACAAAGAAAAAATATGAACCTGCGAGTAACTTTACAATCAAAATTGTACAATGCTTTATAAACAAAAAAGAAATTTGTACCTGTGCGTAATATTACAATAGGAAGTCGTAGAACCACGCTTTATATACAAAAAAGAAATACGTACCTGCCAGTAATTTTACAGTGGCAATTGTAAAACGACACTTTATGAACAAACAAAAAATATGTACATGTGTGTAATTTTACAAAAGGAAATCGTAGAACCACGCTTTATAAACAAAAAAGAAATACGTACCTCTGAGTAATTTTACAGTGGAAGTTGTAGAAAAGCGACTGTTTGTAAGCCAGCCAGTCCTCGATGACAAGCAGGTAGAGATTGGTCTGGGGCAGGGCCGTGACATAGTAGAAGCCCGACATACACGGACCGGACACGTTGCCCGTGATCATCCCACTGCGACCTGGGAGCAAGACAGAGACGGGGGTTAGTCTTTAGTTTTGGTAATTGTTTTATGGCACTAGCAACACAATAAGGCCCATATATATGTGCCGAAGATTAGAGGTGTTACACGAGAGTAACAAACACAAAAAAGGAGGAGGAGAGATAGGAAAGAAAGAGCAGCAAACCACACCATAGCACCCGCCAACCACCCACTGGGGTCAGTCTTAGTGAATGGTGAGTCGCTGTGATCACTGAGACTTAATGTGTTTTAGTAAAAGAGTTTTAAGGCACTTGCAACAAAATAGTGTACATATATATACAAGCCGAAGATTAGAGGTGTCTCTGCACACAGAGATGACGTCAGCCTTAGTGAATGGTGAGTCGCTGTGATTACAGAGACTTTAAGGGGGTTTTTTCAGTAAGAGTTTTACAGCACTTGCAACAAGATAAGGCCATACGTACGTGCCGAAGATTAGAGGTGTTACAAGAGGGCAACAAAAACAAAAAAGGAGGGGAGAAAAGGACAACAGATGTTTGATCGGAAAAAGGAGCAAACCACACCAGAGCATCTGCAAACCCCCAGCACAGAGACTTTTCACCAAAAATGGAATAGAACAACAACACTGAAGAGAAACAGGAGGAGCAGACCACCCGCCCAAATATAAATAATCAGATTTTAATCCTTAATTTTACCAAAATACAATATCAACCACCTACAGAGAAAGAAACAGACCACGATCTTCCGCCTACGAACAGAACATCTACAGCTCAACTTTCACTTGAACAGAATAAAACCAGAACTTCCCCCAATGTGTCCTTTGTGTGACTATGCATGAGACAGTGGAACATCACCTGTTCCACTGTACAGCCCTAAATGACATCAGAGCTACCCTTCTCCCTCCGAGACCTAACATTGACAACACACTCTACGGAACATTACAGCAACTGCAGCAAACCTGCACTTATCACTACATGGCATTGGACAGAAGGGCAAGAGCCCAGATGTTGCTGGATCGATAACAACAACAACAACAACCAAAATACAAGACCAGATTCCTCCCCTTTTTCAGAAATTCGTCCCTCTGGGACAAGAAGATATGTGAGGCATTGTGGAGAAGTCAGGTGCTCCTCAAAATTATGAAATCAAAGAAACGGGTATTTTTCTGCTCATTGGACCATTTTTATCAATTTTCCTTTTTCCCGTCTCAATACCCTTCATGTCCATTTACAACCCTGTTTCAGAGTGGACTTTACTGAAAAACGTTGATGAAAGACACACAAAAATATAAATTTGCACACTTAAAGTTAAAGTTTTCATCACCTGAGCTATATATAGATCTATATTTTAGTTCTGGATATTTGCACAATTTTACAGCTGAAAATATCCACAAACTGTGTCCTGTGGGTGGTTGGCGGAAGCTCTAGTGTAGTTTGCTTCTTCTTTCCTTTCAAACGTAGATCTATCATCCTTATCTCCCCTCCTTCTTTTTTATGTTTGTTACTCTCTTGTAACACCTCTTATCTTCTGGCGCTCATATGACCTTATGCAGTTGCGAGCGCCGTAAAACCTCTACTAAAACATCCACAAACTGTGTCCTGCTACATACCCAAAGCCTCATCGTTGGCCCTGAAGCTGACCACGTCTTGAATGCAGCCAAAGTCACTGTGGAACTTGGGGATCGGCCCACGGTTTTTGTAGTAATCGTCCGTGTCTTCTGGTTTCTGGGGCTGGCCCTCCAGGGTTAACTGGAGAAATAAAAAGGACCAAAAAAATTATTTTTTGTTTTTGTTATAGTAGAGGGTTTTGCGGCGCTCGCAACTGCATAAGGTCGTATGAGCGCCAAGGAGTGGGTGTCAACAGAGAAGTCTTTACAGGGAATCAGACTTAGACTGCTCACCTCTCTAGCTTCAACAGCACAAGGTCTCCTTCGACTATCAAGGCACCCCGGAAATAGCGGGTCACAAGAGAGTGACAAACATACAAAAGAAGTGGAGGAAAATGACAATAGTAAGGATCAGGAAAGAAAAAGCAGCAGTTCCCTGTTGTAGATCAGGCACAGTTATGAGCATGACATGAGTCAGCCCATTTAAAATTCTACTATGCTTGAACGAGAAATGTCCCCCCTTTGGGAATGGCCTAAAGACACAGTCAGTGGCACTACCCCAGGGGGGTGACAAAAAAATAAAAAATAAATAAATTTAAAAAATAAAATAAAATAAACTGCCAAATGAGGTGACAAAGCATATGATATGATAGTACGAAACAAAACTGCACCCATTTTTATACCTCTGGTTTGTTTAGTTTTAATTTTAGGAAGAATTTTACGGCACTTGCAACACAATAAGGTCATATAAGTGCCAAAGATTAGAGGCGTTACAAGAGAGTAATAAACATAAAAAAGAAGGAGGAGAGATAAGGACGATAGATGTTTGATAGGAAAGAAGAAGCAAACCCCACCAGAGCACCCACCAACCACCCACAAAAAAAGAACCTGCCGAGTGAGATGACAAAGCATATGATAGTACAAATCAAAACTGCATCCATTTTAATACGTCTGGTTCGTTTAGTAAGAATTAAAGTTTTAGTTTTAGTAAGAGTTTTACGGCACTCGCAACTGCATAAGGTCATATGAGCGCCAGAAGATTAGAGGTGTTACAAGAGAGTAACAAACACAAAAAAGAAGGAGGGGAGATTAGGACGATAGATGTTTGATAGGAAAGAAGGAGCAAACCACTCCAGAGCACCCGTGGTTACCACCCACTAAGCGTAAAAGTATTCAGGCACTTGCAACAACATATGACAATACAAACAATAACTCAATCCATTTTTATACGTCTGGTTTGTTCAGTTTAAGTAAATGTTTTACGGCACTTGCGACACAAATAGCTCATATAAGCACCAAAGGCCAGAGTTGTTACGACTAGAGAGTAGAATACAAAGAAAACAATGGTGGAGAGAGAACGACAACAGACATTTGATGGGAAAGAAAGCGCACACCACAACAGAGCCCCTTTCCAAATACCCACATCTTTAGTTTTGGTAAGTGTTTAACGGCACTTGCAGCACAGTAAGGTCATACAAGTGCCAAAGATTAGAGGTGTTACAAGAGAGTAACAAACATAAAAAAAGAAGGAGGAGAGATAGGACGATAGATGTTTGATAGGAAAGAAGAAGCAAACCACACCAGAGCACCCGCCAACCACCCACATACCCACATCTGGGTTGGGGAAAAAAAAAACAGAAAGAAGATACGAAATAACAGCACCATGTTGTAGAAGGTGGAAATCTTTACATGTCATTTAAAGAAGTCAGGACTTGATAGGACCTAGCACAAGCCACCAAAAAGAAATGCGTAACATCAATGCAAGTTTAGAATCAATGTATCTAACCTTGGGTTCTTTCGGAGAAATTCTACAAGATCCCTGAAAGTCGATGGACTCTTTCCTGGTGAAGAACTTGTGATGATAGACCAAATGCTTCATGATTTCTCCCTCTTTCCGGCCTAGGGTGACACTCTGGTAGCGAGACTCGTCGAGAGCGTTGGCCACCAGGAAGTCCGGGTCCATCACCAGAAACGCTGCTGTGTCAAATAAGTAGCACCTGTCAGAGAGAGAGAGAGAGAGAGGGGAGTTTGAGTTTGAGTAAGAGTTTTACGGCACTTGCAACACAATAAGGTCGTATAAGTGCCGAAGTTTTAGTTTTAGTAGCAGTTTTACGGCGCTCGCAACTGCATAAGGTCATATGAGCGCCAGAAGATTAGAGGTGTTACAAGAGAGTAACTAACACAAAAAGAAGGAGGGGAGATAAAGACGATAGATGTTAGATAGGACAGAAGAGGCAAACCATACCAGAACACCCGCCACCCACCCACAGATAGGAGTTTGAATTTGAGGACACAGACGCACATGGACTCAATCGGGGTTATTAAGAGTAAGAAAAAAAAGCAAGACAGACAGACAGATAGAGACAGGAGGGAGGGGGGGGGTGTTGGCTCTAGAAAATACAAGTCTGACAACGCTGTCAAGGCTATTAGGTTGAGAAATGTTTTTCCGGTTATAGTTTTAGTAAGAGTTTTACTGCACTTGCAACACAATTAGGTCTTATAAGTGCCAAAGATTTGAGGTGTTCAAGAGAGTAACGTGCACAAAAAAGGAGAGATAAGGACAATGCATGTTTGATAGGAAAGAAGGGAGCAAATCACAGCAAAGCACCTGCTAACCACCCAAAAAGTGTTTCACTTTCTTGAAGGGCCCAAAAGAAGTAAAAACAAAGACAACAGTTAGAGTGAAACAGATGAAAAAGCAGCAGACACCAGATGTTATTATAGTCCAAGTTAAAGCGTGGGGTGAGAACACAATAAACCAACAGGAGAAATATCTCAGCACTGTGGTATCAAAGAACAACCTTCCACACCTAGTCAAACATATTTCATGGCACTCTCTGAGTGGGCTGAGAACACATTATACAACAAGACAAGTTTCAAACTAGTCATCATCATCATTGCCTTTCTCACCCTGCACCAGGGTACAGGCCACGGAAAAACACCTTCCACCTTTCTCTATCCTGGGCTAGCCTCTTGATGTTATTCCATGTCTTCCCACTTTTCTGTACATCGATTTCTGTGATTTAAACTAGTGCAATCATAAAAAGTGCCAGTGTGGAGAGGCGGACCAAACTGTGGAACACATCCTTCAGCACTGCAGGACACACTCCAGACAGTCATGCAGAAGTATTCATACTATCAGAAATAACCAACTGAGCTTCGACCCTCTTTTCAGTCAGAAATATCATTTTCTCTCATAGTTCCTCATTCAAATAGTGCTTGTATTGTTGGTAATAACAAGCTGAACTTTGGTGAAAAGGTCAAACTTCAACAGAAAAAAACTCTTCTTTAACACTTTGCCATCACAAGGCTTACATAGTAAAAATCCTTGCCATCAGAGGCGAAGGCATTTTGGGGAAAATCCAAACAAACTGGGAGGTAAACATCGCCGATCGGCGAGATGTTTTTTTAAGTTTTAGTAGAGGGTTTTACATAAGGTCATATGAACGCCAGAAGATTAGAGACGTTACTAGAGAGTAACAAACATAAAAAAGAAGAAGGGGAGATAAGGACGATAGATGTTTGATAGGAAAGAAGAAGCAAGATGTGACGGCAAAGTGTTAAAGAGAAAACAAAACTGGAAAAAACCATCCCTTCCCCGCAGACCTTGTCTCACAGCCGGGCTCCCCGTTGGGACAAGTGTACACCTGACCACACGACTTTTTGTAGTCCGACGCCTGCATGCTCTCCAGGGACTTCTTCTGGAAATCGTCGTAGAGAATGTCCAGGCCCGTCACCGCCTCCACTCGCTCTGTGGCGCAGCGCCGGTGGTCAGAGTTCGGGCCCGGCCCTTTGCTCAGGTAGCACTTCTCTGGGGAAAAGTAAAAAGTATCAACGGCAACAGCCATTATCTTACTATACTTAGTTTAGTTTTAGTAGGGGTTTTACAGCGCTCGCAACTGCATATGGTCATATGAGCACCACAAGATTAGACGTGTTACAAAAGAGTAACAAACAAAAAAAAGAAGAAGGGGAGATAAGGACGATATATTGTTATATGTTTGATAGGAAAGAAGAAGCAAAAGCAGTAGCAGAAGCAAACCACACCAGAACATCCGCCAACCACCCAATATCTTATCATACCTAGAGAAGAAACAGAATACTGTGCACATAACTGATAAGTGTGTTTAACACACTGCAATGCTGTATGTCTTGATTTAGTAAGAGTTTTACGATACTTGCAACACAATAAGGTTATATAAAAGCTGAAGATTAGAGGTGTTACAAGAGAGTAACAAACACAAAAAAGAAGGGAGGGGAGATAGAGACGATAGATTTTTTTATAGGAAAGAAGGAGCAAACCACACCAGAGCACCCGCCAACCACCCACAGTAGAAGTAAAAATATCAACGGGAACTGCCATTATCTTACTACACCCACAGCAGAAACAGAATACTGTGCAATATTGTTGTTGTTATCGATCCAGTAATACTGTGCACATAACAGATAAGTGTGTCTAACACACTGCAATGCTGTACATCTTAATTTAGTAAGAGTTTTATGATACTTGCAACACAATAAGGTCATGTAAGTGCAAAAGGTTAGAGCTGTTACAAGTAGAGAGTAACACACACAAAAAAGCAGGAGGAGAGATAAAGACGACAGATATTTGATAGAAAAGAAGGAACAAACCATACCAGCACACCCGTCAACCCCCCCGCACGGTACTTCCAACATATTTTGACTCACCCTGTAAAGCAAGGTTACAACATTTAACTTTCTACAGCAACATCAAATTTATTAAAAACCCAAAAATAAGTTCCAACCACAAACATGAATTATTAATGACAAGTTCACATTCCATGTCAATGAAACCGTGAAGCATGACATCCCTAATCTCCCATTCACTCAAGCAGCCCCGTCAGTATACAGCGCACTCGGAAAAAGTCCACCAGACACCATAATCCAGGTCACGTCAGATTTTATCTCTATAGCTTCAACTCTTTAAGACCCGATCCCGATCCCACTCATCTGACTGACAGCACACACAGCTGTGTGCACCACGGCAGCAGACGTCTGTTTTGTTTAAGTAATGGTTTTACAGCACTTGCATCACAATAAGGTCATATAAGTGCCGAAGATTAGAGGTGTTACAAGAGAGTAGCAAAAAAAAAATAGAAGGAGGAGAGATAAGAACAATTGATGTTTGATAGGAAAGAAGGAGCAAACCACACCAGAGCACCCGCCAACCACCCACAGAGACGTTTGTAACATCAGAGCTTAATGGTGTATCAATTTGGGGGGGGGGGGGGGGTTTCCCTACTGAAAGTGAAACAGATCGGAGCTGTTACTACTAACAAAGATAAGCCATTTCTATACTCAACAGTCTCGCTGTAACTACATGTAACGTCAAAGTGAGTAAATATTTTCGGCATTTCTTGGTCTTATCATTCTATCTTTTTTCTTTCCAGATATGAAACAGAAGTTGACAAATCATGGTTCACCATGTACCTCTCTGCACTTTTCTACCCCACCATATGTCTGTCTCACTACGGAGAGTCACTGACATGTCTTTTAGAAAAATACTGTTTGACGTCAAAAGACTGTTGAGCCCGTTCACTTTTACGAAAAGATCATAGATAAAACCATGAAATTTGTATCCAGTTTCACCACTGGCATCAAGAGAAATGATTTCAAGCTTTCTGAAAGCCACGTCAGGTCATGTTATACCGTTCTCAGAACCCACAGCCTCGAAGAGACAGAGAACTAATGGGCTAAAAACAGTATCCAGAAAGACAAAAAAAACCCAAAAAATTAATAAATAATCTTCATCACCATGATTACAAACAGCATGTCATTTTTACTACTACTCACTGATATAGCAGTCGTCATCGACATCGCACTTGCAGCCTCCCATGAAGTTCCCTCTGGTGAAGTTCATACACTCTTCATCAGTCTTGGGGGTCATCCCTTCGAAGACGGCTTGAGAAATCGTGTTGATCTTGCCCACCCCCGCCGAGTCCATGTAGGGCGTGGACACAGAGGTCTTGTGAGGGGCCGAGCTCGTACGTTTGTACCACGGACGCCTGAAGTACGCGGGAATCAAACAAGGCGGCTAATTAATACTTTGTATATATATGCTGTCAGTATATCAAACATGGTAACTAATTAATACTTTGTATATATATGCTGTCAGTATATCAAACATGGTAACTAATTAATACTTTGTATATATATGCTGTCAGTATATCAAACATGGTAACTAATTAACATTTTGTGTATATATGCTGTCAGTATATCAAACATGGTAACTAATTAACATTTTGTGTATATATGCTGTCAGTATATAAAACATGGTAACTAATTAACACTTTGTATACTCTGTTAGTAAATCAAACAAGGTAAGTAATTAACACTTTGTTTATACTATTAGTAAATCAAACATGGTAACTAATTAACACTTTGTAAACGTTATTAGTAAACCAAACAAGGTAACTAATTAACACTTTGTATATGCTATTAGTAAATCAAACATGGTAACTAATTAACACTTTGTAAACGTTATTAGTAAACCAAACAAGGTAACTAATTAACACTTTGAATACGCTATTAGTAAATCAAACATGGTAACTAATTAATTAACACTTTGAATACGCTATTAGTAAATCAAACAAGGTAACTAATTAACACTTTGTGTACACTGTTAGTATATCAAACAATGTAAATCATTAACACTTTGTATACTCTGTTAGTATATCAAACAATTTAACTCATTAACACTTTGTATACGCTATCAGTATATCAAACAATGTAACTCATTAACACTTTGTATACGCTATCAGTATATCAAACAATGTAACTCATTAACACTGTATACGCTATCAGTATATCAAACAATGTAACTCATTAACACTGTATACGCTATCAGTATATCAAACAATGTAACTCATTAACACTGTATACGTTATCAGTATATCAAACAATGTAACTCATTAACACTGTATACGCTATCAGTATGTCAGTATCATTTGTCCAGCACACTAGTTGATCTGATTACGATCATGAGAGTGAATCACTCGCACTATTGAAGCGAAACTTTTCAAGAGAAGCTGCGTGCACTTCTAAAGAAGTTAACAATTTTGAAAATGCCATTATGTCAATCTATACTGTCTAAAGAAGTTTACAATTTTGAAAATACCATTATTTCAATCTACGCTCACATTGAAAAGAAGTTTACAATTTTGAAAATGCTATTATTTCAAAATTATGGCTATCATATCTTTGATGAAAGTATCTTTTTCAAAAGACTTAAAATGTATCTTTATAAGAAAAAAGATGTACTTTGTTGGGTCGTAGCCTCTGGTAGATCTGTGGCCAGGGTAGGTGCGAAATACTCCGCTCCGAAGCCCCACATTTGTCCACTTGACTTGATCAATGGACTCAAACTTTCTGTCTCTCCAGATTTTCTCGATGGGCTGCGTGATCAAAACATCAGCTCTGAAAGCACAAAAAGAGCAATGAAAAAAAGTGCATGTAACAATAGAGAACTGCAATCTACAATTTTAAAAAGTATAAGGTAAAGGGAAGATGTAGAAGCAAGCCCATCATCAAAAGAATAATCAGAAAATGTGCTTACAGCAAAATAAGGTTTCCCTACTGAAAGTGAAACAGATCGGAGCTGTTACTACTAACAAAGATAAGCCATTTCTATACTCAACAGTCTCGCTGTAACTACATGTAACGTCAAAGTGAGTAAATATTTTCGGCATTTCTTGGTCTTATCATTCTATCTTTTTTCTTTCCAGATATGAAACAGAAGTTGACAAATCATGGTTCACCATGTACCTCTCTGCACTTTTCTACCCCACCATATGTCTGTCTCACTACGGAGAGTCACTGACATGTCTTTTAGAAAAATACTGTTTGACGTCAAAAGACTGTTGAGCCCGTTCACTTTTACGAAAAGATCATAGATAAAACCATGAAATTTGTATCCAGTTTCACCACTGGCATCAAGAGAAATGATTTCAAGCTTTCTGAAAGCCACGTCAGGTCATGTTATACCGTTCTCAGAACCCACAGCCTCGAAGAGACAGAGAACTAATGGGCTAAAAACAGTATCCAGAAAGACAAAAAAACCCCAAAAAATTAATAAATAATCTTCATCACCATGATTACAAACAGCATGTCATTTTTACTACTACTCACTGATATAGCAGTCGTCATCGACATCGCACTTGCAGCCTCCCATGAAGTTCCCTCTGGTGAAGTTCATACACTCTTCATCAGTCTTGGGGGTCATCCCTTCGAAGACGGCTTGAGAAATCGTGTTGATCTTGCCCACCCCCGCCGAGTCCATGTAGGGCGTGGACACAGAGGTCTTGTGAGGGGCCGAGCTCGTACGTTTGTACCACGGACGCCTGAAGTACGCGGGAATCAAACAAGGCGGCTAATTAATACTTTGTATATATATGCTGTCAGTATATCAAACATGGTAACTAATTAATACTTTGTATATATATGCTGTCAGTATATCAAACATGGTAACTAATTAATACTTTGTATATATATGCTGTCAGTATATCAAACATGGTAACTAATTAACATTTTGTGTATATATGCTGTCAGTATATCAAACATGGTAACTAATTAACATTTTGTGTATATATGCTGTCAGTATATCAAACATGGTAACTAATTAACATTTTGTGTATATATGCTGTCAGTATATAAAACATGGTAACTAATTAACACTTTGTATACTCTGTTAGTAAATCAAACAAGGTAAGTAATTAACACTTTGTTTATACTATTAGTAAATCAAACATGGTAACTAATTAACACTTTGTAAACGTTATTAGTAAACCAAACAAGGTAACTAATTAACACTTTGAATACGCTATTAGTAAATCAAACATGGTAACTAATTAATTAACACTTTGAATACGCTATTAGTAAATCAAACAAGGTAACTAATTAACACTTTGTGTACACTGTTAGTATATCAAACAATGTAAATCATTAACACTTTGTATACTCTGTTAGTATATCAAACAATTTAACTCATTAACACTTTGTATACGCTATCAGTATATCAAACAATGTAACTCATTAACACTTTGTATACGCTATCAGTATATCAAACAATGTAACTCATTAACACTGTATACGCTATCAGTATATCAAACAATGTAACTCATTAACACTGTATACGCTATCAGTATATCAAACAATGTAACTCATTAACACTGTATACGTTATCAGTATATCAAACAATGTAACTCATTAACACTGTATACGCTATCAGTATGTCAGTATCATTTGTCCAGCACACTAGTTGATCTGATTACGATCATGAGAGTGAATCACTCGCACTATTGAAGCGAAACTTTTCAAGAGAAGCTGCGTGCACTTCTAAAGAAGTTAACAATTTTGAAAATGCCATTATGTCAATCTATACTGTCTAAAGAAGTTTACAATTTTGAAAATACCATTATTTCAATCTACGCTCACATTGTAAAGAAGTTTACAATTTTGAAAATGCTATTATTTCAAAATTATGGCTATCATATCTTTGATGAAAGTATCTTTTTCAAAAGACTTAAAATGTATCTTTATAAGAAAAAAGATGTACTTTGTTGGGTCGTAGCCTCTGGTAGATCTGTGGCCAGGGTAGGTGCGAAATACTCCGCTCCGAAGCCCCACATTTGTCCACTTGACTTGATCAATGGACTCAAACTTTCTGTCTCTCCAGATTTTCTCGATGGGCTGCGTGATCAAAACATCAGCTCTGAAAGCACAAAAAGAGCAATGAAAAAAAGTGCATGTAACAATAGAGAACTGCAATCTACAATTTTAAAAAGTATAAGGTAAAGGGAAGATGTAGAAGCAAGCCCATCATCAAAAGAATAATCAGAAAATGTGCTTACAGCAAAATAAGTTGCAGTAGGAGAAGGGGGGGGGGAGGTAGAGGGAGGGGGGGGGAGGTAGAGGGGGGGGAGGTAGAAGGGGGGGGAGGAGGGGGCTGTTTGCCTGTGCTTGATGTATCATCAGCAGCCTAGAATGGAAAAGGAAAATGAGACGTCACATGAACAAATAAATACTGGCAAGTAAAAAAAGTTTCTCTCGCAAACCACCAAAATAAATTCTCTGCAATAAATTCACTCAGCCCACAACACTTCTGTCTTACCTAACGCCTTTGTTAAACTTCTGATCTCGACTTTCACATCCTTGGTCTTCGCTGTATCCGTTGATCCAAAAGTGAGCATCCAAGGTCTTCTCTTCCAAGCTGTCGTTGTACATATACTTGATGGGATCACAGTGGCTCTGAGGGGCTGCAGGAAAGAAAAAAAAAATCATACTTATTATACTTTAGAAAATGTACCCCCTTACTATTCCAAAAGAAAAGGTAATTAATATATGTGTCACGACGTGGTGGAATCAGGCACTCGTCAATTTTTGGGCATGTCGAGTTATTGGTATTATCTTAAAGCGTGTTCACTTACCTTGCTTTCTATGGAAAAAAAAATTCCCATCTATCTTGAATAGAAGTTGAGATATTGGCAATTGAAGGAAGTGCGTGTAGCCTGGTTTCAGAGGTAAAATTAGCGAGAATATGGCCGCCAAAGTTTGGTAACTTCAATAGCTTGAGAGTCCTTGAAAATGGAAACTATCTATATTTTGTGCCATTAATGTTTTTCAGTAAAATTTACTCAGAAATGTGTTTCTATATGGACATAAAAGATGTAGAGCCAAAAAACACAAATTCGAAAAAAACTGCCAAACTTTAGGAAAAATGCATGTTTCTTTGATTTCATTAATTTGATGACGAGTGCCTGATTTCACCATGATGCCTCACGTATAATCAAATCATCAGATAGATGTCCTTTTGTAAGAGAGAGGCAGAGAACAAGGATGGACGAAGATCTTGTCAGTACGTTAGTGCTCTAGCATGTGTAATCCACAGCTTGCTCTGTATACTTCTTAGGAAGACGAGAACGTATCCAAGTCGTGTCCTTGGGTCAGCTGGGGGAATGATAATTGTAGGGCACATAGAGCATGCTGTAGAGCATGAATACATTTGCTATAAAAATGTTATTATTATTATTATTACTATTATTATTATTATCATTATTATTTGGCGCTCATATGAGCTTATGCAGTTGCGAGCACCGTAAAACCTCTACTAAAACTATCATCATTATTAATATTATCATTATTATTATCCGTGGTGTCCCAGCCGTCAATAACTATGAAATAAGTAGGAAGATATCAAACCCTGATATATACTTACCTAAGAAAATTGTGGAGTACTTGTAAGTAATTCTCAGTTCGGGATACCTCTCCTCGGACTCTCTCACGTCTATTTTCTCGTACACGCCCGGCAGTCTCTCCCTCAGAAGGGCGCTGTTGTACATCTTCAGGAGATTGTAGTAGCTCTCGTCTATGCTGGTGCGGTCTCGCGGCTCTTGAGATCGGCGAAATTCCTAAGAACGAAACAATGCACATGGGGGTTTGCGATATATTTTTGTCCCAGCTCACTGCTCAAAAAGACATAATAATAAAAATCAAGTTTATGGCATCTTCTAAACTCTTTTAAATGAAACGAAACGTCGCATTTATTTCATATTTTGCTCAATCTCACACCCAACCAGACGCAGTTTGAGTTCTTGGGATCTATGGTGTTTATTTAAACGAAACAAAACATGGGGTCTTATTTAAATGTTCGTTGTTGTCTCTGAACCAAGCCTTACACAAAAAATCAAGTTTTTGTCATCGGGACAGAATTCCTTAAAAGGAAACAGAACAAGTGACTTTCTTACTTTGTGGAAACTTGTCACCCTGCCTGACATCAATGTAAGGGGTCATTTTAACAATTTGCTGCCAAAAGTCTCATATATTAAAAACTTTTGCCATCAAAGGCAAAGGCATTTTGGGAAAATCCAAAGAAATTGGGAGGTAAACATCGCCAATCCGCGAGATGAGGCGTCAAAGTGTTAAAAACAGAACACCTGACAGAAAGAAAGAAATGTTCCCAGGAGGACAAGGAAACTAGGTAACCCAGCCAGACTCAAACTTTTCTGGAGTGAGCCACGACTTACCATATCCTCACTTGCCAAACTGAAGGCAAACGAGTAGTCTTTGTCCAAGATGGACCCGTAGTAGTAGGTCTGAGGGAGCAGAATTGAAAAAAATAATGTTATTGTCGTAATTAGTGACAGAGCAAATCCTAGATCAGTTTTTGTACCCTCATATATCATCATGAATAGCATTTGTATAGTGCAAATTCCAGATCAACAGCAAGCTCTAAGTATTTTACAATCTATATCATTCACGGCGCACAGAAGCAGGATACTTTAGTTGAGAACTCAGGTAGCTAGTGCCGCGCTGACCTTTGACGGTGAGCGGGGTCATTGTTTGGGCATTCTTCGGTCAGCATGACCGCGTGGGAGGTTTAGAAAATCGTATTTTTCATCCTGAATTGAGCGCTCATTAACGCTACAATATTGACTGAAAGACATCACTGCATGAGGGAATCAGAAGTTCCAAGCCTTTTTCATGATTTTTCACAAACAAAGTGAATCGGTATTCGTCGGTTTAGTTGTAACAGAAAGTGCAAGATGGTCATACCTGATTCCCGTTAGCGTTTCCAGTTATGACGTAACGAGCGCCGATAATTAGAAAACTGAGCATCAGGATTAGTTCATCTTTGAGGGACATAAACGTAACACTTAAGGGTATCTACTCCCCAAATTTCACTGCTGCCGCAGTTTCCGTAACCTCAAAATGGTTGACCTATGCATCACTTTGCCGTAAATATCCACACATTTCCCTCACTTAACTCCACACGAATTATTGAGTAGGCTATATAGGTTTTAGTTTAGTTTTAGTAGAGGTTTTACGGCACTCGCAACTGCTATAAGGTCATATGAGCGCCAGAAGATTAGAGCTGTTACAAGAGAGTAACAAACATAAAAAAAGAAGGAGGGGAGATAAGGACGATAGATGTTTGATAGGAAAGAAGAAGCAAACCACACCAGAGCACCCGCCAACCACCCTCTCTATAGGTTTTATTATTATATATATACACACATGTCTTGAATCATTGTCTCTGCACGTTGTACATCTACGTGTTGGTCACTGACTGGGACAACAGGCTGAGGGTTGGTGTGGCAATTCTGACTTGTACTGTGTGTGGGTCTTTTTTGTGTTGAGTGTGCTGAGAGCACGGGTACATGTACTCTGTCTGTGTGGTTGTGTCTGTCTCAGAAATGTTGGTGCTAGGACTAGCTTGGTTTGTGTATGTTTCTTGATTGCTGTAGGGAGACTGGGGGTAACGTTGCTTTACTGTGGCACAGCCAAGAGAGAGCAGTTTTTTTTCTGTTCACAGACTGTGTATGTTTTCGCATCAAAGTCTTCAATGTAAGCACACCAAATGTTTGTAGGGGCACTGCACTATTTCGAAGTGTAGCGTCATAGATCGTTTTATAACATTTCAAACACATAAATTTGGAGTGTTTGTCACTACTGTCATCTTTGATATTCCACCCAAACACAAGGAAGAGATCACTGGCTATTTCCGAACATAAATAAGGTTTTTTAAAGGATTTTCTCTGCTTCCCTGTAATGTTCAGTCTTCCGTACACTCTAAACAAGACTGTTTAAAGCGGATACATGACTTTCAGGGGTGGGCTCCATTTTAAGGTCTTCGTTTTATACCCCAATAACGTTAGTAAATTCGCGGGCCCAACACAATAATCCGATGTAGCTTAACAACCACAACTGCGGTAGTACTGAAATTTCCACACTTAAAACAAGATTTGTTACTACACACGCACATACTAATCCCAAAAAATTTCAATGCACCGTTTTGTCGCAATAAATCATTATTTATCCTCTGTTTGAAATGAGAAAAGCGTGTTACACATGCAGCAAACAGACACGTGTGGAACACTTGGTATAAAACGTAGAAGACTGGGACTTTCTTTCAGAGAAGGAGAAATGGTGTTGGTTAAGTCTATAAATTAAAACTACTTGGTGGGTCTAATGGAACCACGGCATGTGAGGTAGTAAATGAGACAATTTTATCGACAACACAGCATACGAGACTGTGGAGCATCACCTGTTCCACTGCACAGCCCTAAATGACATCAGAGCTACACTTCTCCCTCCGAGACCTAACATTGACAACACACTCTATGGAACATTACAGCAACTGCAGCAGACCTGCACTTATCACTACATGGCATTGGACAGAAAGGCGAGAGCCCAGCTGTTGCTGGATCGATAACAACAACAACAACAATCGAGAACACATCCCAGTTTATAACGGTGCGATGAGGTCAAATGACCCCAATAAAAAAGGACAACGGGTACCGGGCGGGGTGATTAATTACCTCCGGACAGCGGGAGCTGCGGTGCAACTAAAAGGCGCGATTTCAGCTGATTTCGTGCGCCGTGTATTACCCCGACAAACCTGACAGCATTTTGAAATAATCTCTGGGAAGCATACAGTGAATATCACATAGATTTCACAAAGGGTAGTCAACCACAGTATTTTAGGTTTACTTTCGGGGGGCGGGGGGGGGGGGTAGTCTAGAGTTAGGTCAGGCTCGCTCCAGGAGTAACGAACGGTTCGCTGGTACAACTTGCAAACGAACTGACGGGTAACAAAGGAACCAAACTGATGCTCCAGTCGAGATCTTTTTCCTGTGTGGAAAAGGTCACCTTCAGACTCAACTGTCAAGTACATTTCATTGGCATTGGTAACATTATTAGATCACAAAGACGTTTTGGCACTTACCCTGGTCTTTCCATCTCTTGCTTTGTTCAAAATTTTCATCCCCGTTTCCCCATGAAGCATTTCCTCTTCAATCTCAGAAAACTCACTCGGGTTGCCATCTTTGTCTTGCTCTAGCCCAGAGATGGGGATGTAGATCGGATCTTCCAGCAACTGCACAAGTAAGAACAGAAAAGATAAGAAGATAACTCATAGTTCAAAGTGAAATTTCCAACTTCCGCTTAATTATTTGCTCTTTATCCTTTTAGAATGAACGAAAAGAAACAAAAAGCAAATACCAGCATGAGCGGTGATATGGTCAGTCTCTTCGCCATTTCTTTCAAATACTGTGAGCTCTATTCTGACATGAGCAGTCCATCTCATTGAGAACATCTTTCCATCTGTTAGGACGCTGTATCCTCCCAGGGCTGGGATAGCCCTTACAAGCACATATGAGAAGCCACCCACCCCCTAAATGACCTGAATTGTTTCGATACGAGTGTAAAACATAACAACAATTTACAAAAATAGTAAAACAACATTAATGTCACTGGCACTCTCATCAAATTTAGAGCTACTGTGAACATATTTTAGAAAGACAATACCCTGAAGAAAACCACGTGGAATATAACTTTGAGCACTGCTACACATTTTTTAAAAAGCAACAAATTTACTCAAATTAAAACTGCGTATGCCGATTCCATACAATCCCTAAAAAAAAAGAAGTAACGGACTCAGTAACAGACATCATACCGTTGTGCTTGGCTTCAGCTTCGGGTGGAAAATCACGTCTGCATTGGAATTGATCAAGAAGGAATAAACTGACCCCCACTGATGCTTGGTGAGAAAGTTTTCAATTTCGTCCAAGGTTGCATCGATGCCAACCACACCAATGTATCTGAAAAGACAAAAAATAAAAAGAAGAAACAAAATGTAGAGACCAGTAGGCTATAGGGTGCTATGTCCTCAAATTCCCTACTCTCCAGTCTAGTAACTGGGCAAAGTGCTCACTATGAAATATCACTGTGACAAACCTGGAAGGAAAACCACTACTTGTGTACTGGTGTGCCTTCAACTTCATTTAATAATTTAATAATTGCATTTATATAGCGCATATCCACGCTCAAGAGCATGCTCTATGCGCTTTACAACCATTATTACCCCAGCAGACCCTCTGAAACCAGGGTCATCCGTTTGAAACCCCTCCCCCACAACAAATCGAGATTAAGAACACTTCACTACTGACCGAAACCAGGGTCATCTGCACCACACCCAAAATGAAACTAAATAAGCTAGTGGTGAGCTCTCATTTGCATAACTTCATCAAAGCAGGAAAAGGATCTGCTCAGCAGGTGCTCTGGTGTGGTTTGCTCCTTTTTCCCTCTCAAACATCTATCATCCTTTTCTCTCCTCCTTCTTTCTTGTGTTTGCTACTCTCTTGCAACACCTCTAATCTTCGGCACTTGTATGACCTTACTGTGTTGCAAGTGCCGTAAAACTCTTACTCAAACTAAAACTCCTCTCTCTCTCTCTCACAGGTGCTACTTGTTTGACACAGCAGCGTTTCTAGTGAAACGATTACTTACTAAAACGTACTAAAGCAAGACACACAGCGTTTCTAGTGAAACGATTACTTACTAAAACGTACTAAAGCAAGACACACAGCGTTTCTAGAGAAACAATTACTTACTAAAACGTACTAAAGCAAGACACACAGCGTTTCTAGAGAAACAATTACTTACTAAAACGTACTAAAGCAAGACACACAGCGTTTCTAGAGAAACAATTACTTACTAAAACATACTAAAGCAAGACACACAGCGTTTCTAGAGAAACAATTACTTACTAAAACGTACTAAAGCAAGACACACAGCGTTTCTAGTGTAATGATATGGGACATAATCCATAATCCACCACAGTTGCTTGTCCATTATATTATCAGTTGTTTCCCTTTCATTGTAAACACTCCATGAGCAGTTCTCACATTATCTTGAGATTCAGGGCTTCTGGGAACGTAGGGTCTGGGGTGTATATAAAGCTGTGTCTGTGTCTCTAGTGTTTTTTTCGGTCATTTGACTGGTGAAGTGAACCTTGCACCACTAGTGAAACAATTACTTACTAAAACATACTAAAAGCAAAGCACAAGTCGAGCAACCACTCACTTGCCAGTTTTGGCACTGGTCACAGGGACAGCGTGGGTGATCATCAGACCCAGCCCCCATGAGTCCAGGTACGGCGCGGTCCACAGCGCGTTCTCCGTGGCGGCGATGGCCGACAGGAACTCGAAGTAGTTGTACATCTGCGTGATGAGGTTCTCCCCCGTCAGAAGCTTCAGCATGCTGCCGTTGTGGTCACAGGCCAGGGTACCGGGGAACATCTCCGCGTCCTCCACAATGAGGTAGCTGAAGATCCTTGCCTGTCCAACAATGAATTCTACTGCTACACTTCTCATAGGAACATATCAACATAAACAAAAATGGGCCAAAGTAAAGTGTGACCCCCTCACATGTTTTTGCACATCACAACAATCAACGATCACAACGCACTGTTTCACATTACTGAAAGAGGTGATTACAATCCCGCAGTAGGTCAAGTAAATCAGGGGTGGGGAGCGGAGGGGGGGTACTTAATTTTTACCCAAAAAAACAAATATCTATGCCTTTTGCAATGAGAAACTTGATGAATTGATAGAACTTCCCATGTGAGTATTTACTAAAAGAACAAAAATCTACAAACTTTACAATGACAGCAATGAGGTACTAGAATAATAAGGCTCGAGAAACAGGGAGAATAAATGCATTCAAAACGTCACAAACAGACAACACAATCTCCTTAGCCTCCCACTCAAAAGTTGACATCAAAGCCCTTTTAAAAACATTACAATAACTTCTGAAAACCTCCATCTTTTTCATCTTTTTCAACATGGCACTGGGTCAAAAGCACACTCTCAAAGCCTACTAGATAACAACAATAACAAAAATATTAGAAGCCCTTCAAAGTAAAAAAAAAAACAACAACAAGAGGATGTTGCTTTTTCGAAACCTAAAAAGCAAAACAACCCCCCCCCCCCAAAAAAAAAAAAAAAACGGAGAAAAAAAACAAACAACCAAATGAAAAACCAAAGAACATAAAAAGAAAAAGACAGACTTACATTTGGAGCGAGATACTTGTTCTTTTCCATCGGCACGTTGTACACAGATGTAAAGTTGTACTTGCAGATGGGCCCAGGAACGTACCCACTCCTTGTGTAGTACCCTGGAGCGGGATCAGAACAGGACAGCAGTAGGGTCATTGTCATGACTATAAAACACCTCTTTGGGCAAGCATACGAAGATTCCAAATTCAGCCATTATTAGACAGTAGGGTCATTGTCAGGGCTATAAACACCTCTTTGGGCAAGCATACGAAGATTCCAAATTTAGTCATTATTAGGCAGACTCACATCTGCATCAACATTGCATCCATAATAATAGATAGCATTTGTATAGCGCAAATCCCCGCTCAACAGCAAGCTCCATGCGCTTAACAATCTATACTATTACACCAGCAGACCTGAGAGCATTCTGAAACCTCATCTTCCTGGGAAGCATACAGTGCAAGCAGCCATTTATAGGCGCTAAATCACTACAATACTGACAAGATCTTTCGCTGTCTATGGCCGAGTACCCATTCCCACCTGGGGGAAGAGAGGAAAATTCATTTAAAGTGCCTTCCCCAAGGACATGTCGGGCCCGCGGCTCGAACCCCCAAAACGCAACCTCACGATTACGAATCCGGTAGCCTAACCACTAGGCCACCGACACCACGTTTCAGCACAATTTCATCAAGAGATAAGAAAATGAAGAATTCAACACACCTGGTCCACACCTGACATCCTCCCCGTCGGTATCTTTCCCGTCTGTGGCAAACACAATGATGGACTGGCAGCCAGTGCGAGGTGCTCTCCTCAGTAGGTCAAAGGCTAGGTCGTAGCCTTTTCTGGGAAAAAGAGAATGAACACATAACATTACCTTGCTTTAATCCTTGTAAGAAAAGATTTCATAATCCAAGAATCCCAGAGGTGGGTGGTTGGCAGGTGCTCTGGTGTGGTTTGCTTCTTCTTTCCTATCAAACATCTGTCGTCCTTATCTCCCCATCCTTCTATTTTATGTTTGTTACTCTCTAGTAACACCTCTAATCTTCGGCACTTATATGACCTTATTGTGTTGCAAGTGCCATAAAACACTTCCTAAAACAAAACTAAAAGAATTCCAGAGCATTCTGTATGATGCACTCCAGTGTGCAGGATAAAGTAATCTCACACTAGCTAATAGATGCCAGTGAGCAAAAAAGTTTATAGTCATAGGATATATGGCAAGTGGGTATATATGGCAAGTGGGTACCAACAGAGATTTTTTTAAATTCTTATGATCTAATCAATTAACTGTAATGTTTTAGTAATACAATCTTTCCCCCAACACTTAGGTAATATAACTTCAAAATCTAACCATTATGAAACATGACATGGCTTATTTGCTTCAAGGGTTCAACTTCTTAATAGAGAAACAAATACAAAAAATACAACCAAAAAAAGCTACCTTTTAAGTCAGTTACACATAAACAAATTGTTTCTAATCCCTATTAATCTTGTCCTCATCTTCTTTCACCAACAACATAAGCAGAATAATAAATACAAAAATACAAAATATACTTTTTCAATCCTCATCCATTTGAAATAAAGCAGGTAACAAAAAAACACCAGGAATTTCTTTTCAAAGGGAAAATTGCAATGCAAAGGCCATCAGTGTAAAAGAGAAAAGAGAACCAAAACACTTAAGAATTCGACAAATTTAGCAGGATCTACTCACTCCAGTTCCGTTGTTCCCCCAGCTACCAATTTTTCAATTTTCTCTATCAAGTCCTTTCTGTGAGCATTTGTAGCTTTCACCATTCTCTCCTCCTGGCAACTCAAAACTCTTGTGTCGTAGTAGTGCCACCTGAAGAGAGAGAAATCAACGAGTTCATCAATACGCTCTGGTTTAAAAGAGTCACATCAGACCCACAGTCTCATTCCTTTGACACTAGTTCATCAATACGCTCTGGTTTAAAAGAGTCACATCAGACCCACAGTCTCATTCCTTTGACACTAGTTCATCAATACGCTCTGGTTTAAAAGAGTCACATCAGACCCACAGTCTCATTCCTTTGACACTAGTTCATCAATACGCTCTGGTTTAAAAGAGTCACATCAGACCCACAGTCTCATTCCTTTGACACTAGTTCATCAATACGCTCTGGTTTAAAAAGAGTCACATCAGACCCACAGTCTCATTTCTTGGATTCCCTACTCCCATGTGTTCAAAGAAAAACTTGCACATTTCATTGGTTCCAACATGCTCTGGTTCAAAGGAGAAAGCAGACACACAATCTCATCAGTTTGATTCCCCACTCGGTAGAGTTGGGTCGCAAGCGCGAGAATGGAACTGAATCGCCACTCTTCCCTGCGGAACGCCATTCGCGATTCACTTCAGCGGAACGCGGAACAGTATCGCCTTCAGATTCCCGATTCCCTCCCCTGTCGCTGTCACCACCTTGTGGCTTGTTTGTAACCCACTGCTGGGTCACGAGTCGAGTCACGAGCACAAGAACGGAACGAAACAATTAGTATGGCTCCCCT